ATAATAATAATAATAATAATAATAATAATAATAATAATAATAACGTATACTAATGCAAAAGTGCTTATATTTCAATGTTTTTTATATGGAGAAACAACCACTTTTCACCTCCTATGTTGTTTCCTCACGGAACTTCGGATCCATCAACACACGGGTGATCTTCATTTCCTCACTATTGTCTCTAGTGACATTTACATCCACCAATATCCCACCAATATATTCAAAGTTTTATTCAAATAACTACTTTACGGGTTAATAATACTTTATCTGCCGTAATATTAAATTGAAAACATTCTTCGGTCTATAATATTAATATAATATTTGAGTTATAAAAGTACTTTCAATAATGATAATAGTGCTTTCAATAATAAAAATAGAATTAATTTATATTTTCAATTGTGTTCGATTTATTGTTTCATAATTTGTATAATTTTAATCTGTAAATGTACATTCATAAAATTTTTCATCGAATTTAATGTTAACGAAAAATTAAATTGTCGAATCATATTTAAATAAAACTAAGTATCGAAATCTTTTGCTTACACTAAGAATACGAAATATCATTATAAAAAATAAAATCAAATGGTTAATATTTAAATTTGCATATTTTTAAATTAGACAAGTAGAAAATCATATTACGTATTAACTATTAGTTCATATATATTTATATATGAACTAATATTTCAAAATATTAATAAGAAACAAAATTTAATGCACAAGTATACATAGAAATCCGTTTCTTTCTTTTTTTTATTTTTAAATTATAAATAATATGACAAAAATATTTATAACATAATTTCATTTGAATTGAATTTAACAACAACTTTTACAATTGTACAAAATTAATGTATAATTGTAGATTCTTTATAAAATATAAGCATATTACCAAGCCATCAACATATTAAAGTAATAATAATAATAATAATAATAATAATAATAATAATAATAATAATATGGTACAATTTCAGTTGAAAACGATTTAATAAATGTAAACGTACCGTGTTAATAGCGAACTTACATAACGAGTACGAGTAAACTTAGCACTTCATTTAGATTTAAATATTACATTTATCTACTTTGTTACATGCACGTGTCGAGCTTGTTACTCGTTCGCATCTTAAACTAATCTAAGATAGCAGAGATGCCTAAAATATAATAGACAATCGGTTTACAAAAGGGTGATTAATTAAATGAATGGTTTGCTACATTCTTAAGAGGGATGGCGTAGCGGCGGTGGGGTTTGGGCGGGGGAGGGGGATGGGGGATGTAATAGAATTCCAAGTCACAGAATATGGCCTTTCTCTATATTCTCTTCCTGTCTCTCTGTGTGCTCCTTCTTCCATCTTGAAGATTCTCGCACCTTATGTACTTCTCTATCTCCTTTTACACTTTCCTCAGACAATTACATCCCTTCAGCTAGTGGACAAGATATACTAGGCTTCTGTTTCATTAGAAATTCGCAAATTTTATCTTGTGCAGCGCGTTCGGCTTTGTTATGGGAGACCAACATCAACTACATTATATGGAAATTAAATATCTTTCTAAATTTCTTGTATTTATTGTAATGCATATCTGAACAATAAATGATGCATTATTTCCGAGATATGTGATTTAAATTTTAAATTTGAGCTCTACAAAGAAACTCTTTATCCACCATAGTATTAGTTAATTTTGATGTTATAGTTCACAAAGGCCTTTTATTCATTGAAGAATAATATTTGTCCGAGTTTTATATTACATTGTTTCAATATTCCACCGAGTACTATATATTTTATCGCTTTTTGAAACAAGTTGACTCCTATATATAATTTATACATAGGAAATTGAGTTTTTAAACGAAAAAATAATAGTGATTGAAATTTTACATGCTTTTAATCTTTAACTGTCAAAATTATTTTTAAAATAAAATTATATATGAAGATTAATGTTTTCACGGGTATTAATGAAAAGGAATCATTTTGAAATTATGAATTTATAATAATAGATTAGAATTCAGATATCATGATAAAATTCTTAATTATTTAACTATAAAAGAATATTCAGAATTTTAAGGACTACGACATATGCAATATATATTTTATCTAATTATAACGATCACTGCCACTATTTTTACAACATTAAATTCGATCAATTTCTAATACATTGATTTTATTACCTCAATCAATTATGATTAATCTTAAAAACTAATATTATAAATGAATAGATGAAAATCTTCATAAAACTGATATAAAAATATTGAGCAACGTACTGAACGTACCAACTTATGTCTAACATAGTCTGAATGTTCAATTTCCATAAATATATAATATATCGTTACAATATATCGCAATAGCTCGTAGCAATATTTTATTCAAGGAGAATTTGAAAAAGTTCGTATATCGTTACACATTAATAACCGACAACGATTTTTCAAAGAAACGAAAAAATCGAACATAAGTTTTATTTGGCACGGATTTGACCCATCATTTTCCATTTTTTCCACTACTTGCAGTCCCAAAGTAGTTATCGACACTTAATTCCTTTCTTTCATCGATTCATTCGACATCACAATCGTTGTTGTATTACAATGTCACGAGAAAGTGTTAATCACGCCTTTACAAACGTACACACATGACATAAGCGAATGCAGATCATTTCTAAATATAAAGAATTATTCTTGATGATTAAAATTATTTTTTATTATTTTTAAAAATATAAATATTGGAAGCATAAAGCTTAATGGAGAGGAAATGTGAATTACAAATTACTTGAAATATCCTTCATGCATCTATTATTTTTAATGATTAAATTCAGTTTGTCAACTAACTTATTAACAAGTATTTCACCATTAATCCTCTGCATTTAGTTTACATAAGCTAATTTTATATATAAGTCTCACGTAGCTTGAGAATACATGTAGTAATGCGGCCAACCGAAGGCATCTAATCAATATCGTCCTTTTCGATATGAAATTTAAATTAGATGCATCTTCGTTCCTTAGTTTGAGCAGCTCGCATTCACGTGGATGGAAAGGCAAAAGCTTGGCGGTTCCTACTCGTCGCATCGGGCTCAAAGTGAAAAACACGTCGTAGTCTGTAGCACGACATTGCAAGCCGACACCATCATGGATTTTCTTAACGAATTCTACGCACATCCGCTGCTACAGGTGAGCAAAAAAGACGCATGACGTATATATATATATATATATATATATGTGTGTATATGACTAAACGTATAGATAGATGTTGTGCGTTTATCTATATATATATATATATATATACAAGATAGCTAGAGGATGAGAAATTGGGTTGGGACGAGGAGAGGGAGGGGAATACGAATAGAATCAAATCAGTCAACATGAAAAGCTAATGTGAAATCGAGATGGATAGAACTATAGCCGAAATTACGAATTCAATCAGAGATTATATTTCCTTAAAATACTTTTAATACAGACGATATTTATCGGGTAATCGATATACTCATGAAATTAATTAAAAAAGAAATATCTTTCTTTAAACAATAATAAACTTGTAATATACAAAATTTAATTTCAATTTCTATACACTCCTGTAATCAAGAACACTTATGTCGTCAAATATTGAATCTAGAGCATTTAATTATTATTTTTACAAATAGAGATAAAAATTTTTTTTATTCACGAAGAACCAATAATTTTCTACAAATAATAAAATTATTATTAATTAATAGTGAACTTGAATTTACAAAACTTTGAAAATCTCGGGAAATCCTTTAAGAAAGCTTTCACTTAAATAAAGAAGCGCGTCTGTGATCTTAGAAAGTACAGTCGTCAAACGAAAATAAATTCCCCTCTAAAATTAATTTACGTTAAGTCGACAACTATCTCGTAATTAGAGGAAGACCGACATTTACCTGATGAAAGTGGCTCCGAGGCACGAAGTAAAAACGAAATCCATTACCCAGACGATTTCCGTCCATTTATCAAATCGGCGTGCACCTTCCTTATTCGCAGGATTATTACGTAGTGCTCCTATCACCAATGGAGCTAGACACAACGATGAGGATGATCCTGCAGGTGCCGATCTGGGCACAGCGCGTCATCTACATCCAGGGCTCGTGCCTGAAGGACGGGGACCTTGCGAGGGCGCGCATGAACGAGGCCGAGGCATGTTTCGTCCTTGCGGCCCGGAATTATGCGGATAAAACTGCCGCGGACGAACACACGATCCTGAGGTAAAACGGCTGGAAAGTATGGCGTCGGGAGATAAAGCTCACCGACCGGCGGATGTCCTATCCGTTATGACGTTGTGGCATTGCAAGCTCCGGCTGATTCTCAGATTTGATACTATTTTGTCCTGAGATTTCGCATGGTTGATCCATCCGCTCTTATGGTTGGGTGCATTGGTCATTTGACTGGGAAAAGATTATCACGGGATGAGCTGTGAAGTCTACGGACATTGTGCAATATTCCACCGATATTAATTTTACATTAAAATCATTACAATAGAATAAGAACTTAATAATTATTATATAATGATGTATATTCTTATTTATTTTTTTTTTGTTTTATTATTGTAAGAATAGTATTAAAATATTATTGTCTATAAGTTGATGTGTTACGGTAAATATGTATAATAAAATTTCTAATGAGAAAAAAAATTTACAATTTTCCATTATAAATCAGCATCAAGTTATAAACTTAATAATGTAGATTTACATGAAATATTTAGTAATATATGTCCATATAAACAAATATTAATTAATATTAATATTATATATGTATATAAATTATTATTTATTTATCAGACATAATATAAAGTGTGACAAATTAGAAAAAATTAAATAACTAACATATAAACTTTACTAAACTTCAAATTAATTAGATTTTTCGTAATTGGACTGTTTAGAGTATTTCAATTTAATATGCTTTCACTTGCTTATTGGAAGCATAATATAAGTAACAATAGAAAATAATATGTTATTTAAGAATACTAGAATTAATATAGAAAAAGATCGATAATTTTTTTCTCGAAGATCTAATATATTAATACAATATGACATAAAAATCTACGAGTATGAGAAAATTCTAAAATCAAATAAGAATTATTTATCTTCCTTTATCGAGTATAATATTTTTATTAAAAAACTAATAACGAATAAAATACTAATAATCGAAAAACTTCTCATGTACTCTAAATCTGTTAATTTAATAATCCCGAGATTGTTTGTATTGTCATAAATTGTTCATCAAAATCTGTTTTATCTATGAGAAATAAACATAGAATTACATTGAATTTTATTGTAATTTAGTTCATGATAAAATGATCGTTTATTTGACGTGGGAGGTGGGGAGGAATTATCTTGACCGAAATACAATTAATAAATAAAAAAGTAAATTATATATCAATATACGTGAAGAGTACTACACTATCGGATGAAAGGAAATATGGAATCTGTGCGAAAGCTTTGATTGACAAAATCAATGCTTTTCATGTAGAATCAGTTTCGTGTTATTTTTAGGTTTTTTTTCTTTTTTTTACACTGATAATAGCTATTTTTCAAGAATAAATTTCCAATTTGATCCGATATCGTGTTTGACCAAATACAACATACACTTGATGTATGCATAACTATACCATGTTATCAAATGAAATTAATCTGAAACTTTTCAAACTGATATCATATTAAAATGTTTCTATTATTTTTTTATTAATTTTAAATCTCGTAAAATTTTAAAAACAATGTTAAATTCTTACAAATGGATTGAATCCGTGAAATTTCTATTTACCTTTAATCTCCAAAGCGACAGGTTTTTTTTTCAAATGATTATTTAATTGTTTAATGAAATTGTATTTATTCAAACCGTTCCTTGTGTATAATAATAGCAAAAATCTTTTACGTAATAGTTTTGAATTACAGTTGCAAAAAGCATGAAAATATACAAATACTAATACTACTCGAATCTTTTATTATTATATTACATTGTTCTTATACCACCTCTGAGCTCCGTATGATTCTGTGTCTTATATGCAGCCATTATATTAGTATTTATATATATATATATATATATATATATATATATATATATATATATATCATTAAAGAAATAATTTGAAATTAAAATTTCATGTAATGCGTAATAATTTAATTAACATTTTACAATATTATTTCATGCCTATTTAATTATTCATTACCTTCGATAACCGTGAAAACCTGTTACAGATAATGAAATGTACCGATATTAAGGAATAAAATATAAAATACACCGCTTTATAAATGTAAATATGATAATAATTATAGATCATGGGCTGTGAAAGATTTTGCACCGAATGTGCCGCAGTACGTGCAGATATTTCGACCAGAAAACAAACTCCATGTGAAATTCGCTGAGCATGTGGTATGTGAGGACGAATTCAAATACGCACTTTTGGCTAACAACTGTACTTGCCCCGGTGCTTCAACTCTTGTTACACTTCTGTTACATACGTCGAGAGGACAGTAAGAAAACTAAAATTATGAACATTTAAATGCTCATTTTACTTTTATCTTTTTCACTGTTTAGTTTAAATTTTCATTTAATTAAAATTGCCATATGTAAAGCTGTAACAATAGTGAACAAATTTTTCCTTTAAAATATTTAACTATGTTTTTATAAAGAAAAAAACCTGTTAAAGCAAACATTGTCTCTTAGAATGAAAAATACGAGCGTAAAACTATCGAATCTTAAAGTATAGTTAAATGATATTTAAAAATACAAATAAATACAATATAAATACGATAAAAACAAAGATGATTTCAATTCAATGCTAAAAAGTAATACCCAACTTTAGGAATTATTAATAATTTGCATTTTTAATAATACAACTTAAATAAATACTTTCATCTTCATTATTACATCGTGAAAAATAATTCTGATAGTCGCTAGAAGATAAATACACTCGCGTGTATAATGCATCGATTCAACGGTCATCTCTTATCACGTTCATAGGGAGGGTCAACAGTCGCAAGAAGAATGGCACAGATTGTATGGCAAGTGTTCCGGAAATGAAATCTACCATATAATCTTAGGGGATTCGCGCTTTTTTGGCGAATACGAGGGTAAATCCTTTACTTACGCGTCGTTCCACAGTCACAGGAAATATGGGGTTGCCTTGGTCGCGGTAAGGCCTGCCGAACTTCCCGAATTTTACGAAGACACCATCTTACTTAATCCAGGTTTGCAACATATCGCATAAAGTATTCATAAAGTATGTATGGCAAATGTATCTCATCTCATAATACACGAGCAATTATAGGAATTTCAATTTTAATTGAATATTTTTGTGCGAAAGAAATTCTAAATAATTATGAAAATTGGTTATGCTGGTCTTACATGACTGGCTGGCAAGTCCCATCGTATTATTCGTGAATTGATTGTAAACGATCTGCTATCACATTAACCAAACATGCGATGATATTCTCGCTGTTCTATAATAACAAATAATATTCCTATAATAAAAATTCGTCTATAAGTGTCGAAAAATTGATGAGATGTAATAACAACGATTCTTCGCGTGTATGCCGCGGTGCTTGTCAAAACCAAATAACGAACAATGCGCAAAATTACTCGATGGTATTAGAAATCGATTTAAAGCTTAATATATTGTGCGAGAGGAAATATTTGATGAAAGGAGCTTGTATTGTCGCTCGTAGGTCCGAGACATATCATGAAAAAAACCGACACGTGCTATTACATGAGCATTACGAAAGAGGAGAACTCGGCGTTCGTTGTGGCGAACCACCAGACCACCGGTATCGTCGCCGACTCCACGCAGGTCGTGATCGAGACGAAGCCCGATCGCAATCAGGGCATCGGCGTAAGCGGCAGCTGCACAACTCCGGGCACCACGACCACGCTGACGGCGGCCTCCTTGGCGACCGCGACGACCACCTGCAGCAATCCAGCGGGCAATGGTACTATAGCCACTAGTAGCGCGTCCCTCCGCTTGAGCGTTATAACAACGAGCAACGATGACTATGAGGGTACGGTCGAGTCCTCGCCGAGCCGCGGGCGGACTCCCTATTGCCCCGGTACCGCTATCTACAAAAGGGCCCACTCCCGACTCCCACAAGTTGTATTGCAGGTCCTCCCTAGCACGCCCGCACCACTCCAACACCACAACCTACTGCTCGCATCCGATGTTCACCGTGAGTGTCGCATGCCTTCATCGCTTATCGTCGCTTTGCCCGGCTTTCACCTTGCTTCAGCCTATTATTCCATCTAAGCCCGGAGCATTACGTATTGATTGTCGTCGAAGTACCGTGCTGCTTGAAAGCTTCTTTTCCGCTTTGAAGTCTCGGCTGCATCGTCGACGATACCACACGACCACTGCGCTCGGGCTTACCTACGCTTGCTTAAAGCTCTAGATGCTATAGCGCAAGCGCATCAATTAAGCTAACTCTTCTTAACTTGCGAATATATTTTCAATTAGAGGGGTTAATAATGCTCGAACGTTTATTCATAAATTGCATTATGCGATCTGTAGAGAAGTCTCGTCATATCCACTAGTAGATGAAGCGTGATACTTTCTTTTGCAAAATGTCCATCCCGGGATAACCCCGTGATTCATCGCGGTTGCTTCCTTACGCGCCATTACTTCTCCTCCTTTCCTTTCCATCGAGTATTATACGAATGGCTTTTATGTAAAAAACATTATGAAACTTTCAAATATGACTAATAACGTTGAAGAAATAAGAGATTTTTCATCCTGTTGATTCTATTCGAATTTGTTGAGATTAATATTCCATGGAGAGTTATACTATTTTGCTCATATTTACCCGCGCTAATGTGACAAAATTCATAAGCTATCGTAATGGATTATTTAACGACAATATTTTCAAATATTACAAAACGAGTGCTTTAGTGTCTTAATTAATATTTCAAATACAACACGGAAATTCATGATTATTTAGACCGAGGAGCTTTCGATGTCTATTAACAAAGAAAAGTTTCTAACAATACCCTCAACTAAGACTACAATACATATTATTAATAATATTTTTTTTAATAAAATTAAAATAATTCCATGATTCCTTTATACATTTTATTACCTTTTCCCAGATATTTTTCCATCCTTATTTTATTAAAAACGTAAGACGTCGACAAATTACGAGCATTATCAAATTAGTATCTAATTATAGACTATATGTTAACGTTAATTACATGGCACAACAAAGTTTATTACTCGAAACATGCATGTTAATAAATGATTCGGATATTGTGTTTTCAGTATTCGGATAATTTATTTATGCGATGAAATACATATGTAAATGAAATCTCTTTACATAAGTGTATTTAGATAAATTTGCGTAAATAAGAGAAATTTTTATTTTTAATATATTAATATTGAAGACGAATATAAATTATTGTACTTTTAGTATACAGAAAATATTTACTATATTTTTTTATTTTTTGCATGAAATTTCTTGAATTTTTGTTATTATTTTGGTTTGCATTAATATTATAGAAATATTTTACAAAAAGAAATATTTTAAAAGTCCAATTTTTTCAAACTCTACTGACTAATTTACATACATATTAATATATACATTTGTATTAGTATAATTTACATAGATTAATAATAGTATCGCTAACATTGAATTTACACCGACAATTATTTATTTTCATGATCTTTTTTTTTTTTTTTTTGTTTGCTTACATTGTATTAGTCAAGTTTTAAAAACTGAAATTCAATTTTATTTCATTCATTTACGTATTATTATTATATTAATATAATAATATAAATATTACCACAAATTTTAACAACGCTCAGCGTTTTAAAGCGATTACTATGCGAATGTATTTTTTTTTTTTTTATATTCTATAATCTTACGTTTGTATGCCACGTTTGTTGCTTGACAAAGCAATAAGTAGAACATTTTTAAATATTATTTTAAAAAAAATCAATTTCTGATGTTAAATATAAATAGGATTAAATACGATAGGATATATATTTTATTTGATAAAATTAGCTAAACTTAACTCGAAAAGATTTTTTTAAGTCAATTTTATTAAGAATAATCCATTAAAAATCATAGAGATTTAAAATTACCCATAAGTATAAATTTAGTCATTAAGGCTTGAATTAAATGAGAATGAATTTTATTATAAACTTCATAAAATTATCATCTAATAAGAATCTTAATAATTAAAAAGAATATTTTATCCGCTGTTAAATATTTTTGAAATGAACAAGAATCTGCTTGTCCTAGAATCGAAAACATAAAAAACCCATTTCTATTTGCTTTATCAAGTTCGTCTACTGAGACATTTAAGTACGGAAGTGAATTTCAGTATTTATAGCGATTCTCCCATAGGACATTGAGGGGTAGAAGGTGAGAGAGCGAGAGAGAGCGAGAGAGAGAGAGAGAGAGAGAGTGACAAAGATAGAGAACAGAGGGACCGGCAAAATGACTCTGACTGGCAGTCGCGTGAGTGAATATCGCGCACCGAAGTGTACATGCATGCATTCACGATATTCTAGGAGCAAACGGTGTCCAAAATAACGTACCGGGTAATTTCTTGGTCGCTTGCTGATATCCAAAGACAGAGCTAACCGTGTTTCTTCTCTCCGTCTCTCTTGCCAGATACCTTACGCCATACCTTAGTCGAATGTCCCTGATGCACTTGCTTTAATGCAGATGTGATGCGCTTTGCGCCATTTATTATGTCACGCGTGCATCTCACCTCGTTGTTAACACTTTAGAGAAGTGGGAGGAAGAGAATTTGAAAATGGCCTTGATATTATTCACTAATACAATATCCTTAAGAATTTTAACGACTTTACTTGCTTTTTCCGAATTTTATTCAATTGAATTTTGAGATTTTTCTTGTATTTAGCAGCATATAACCTCCAAAGATTTACAATCATTTTATTTACAATATTTACAAAATTATCATCGATTATTTTGTTATATTTGATGAAGCTGTTAATGGAAATTTTTATTATTAAAGCAAATAAAATAAGCAAATGTGGATGGTGAAAAAGAAAAGAGAAATAGCAAAACCTTTATAACACTTGTACATAGAAGTTTGCATTTATAGTTGCAAACACATGTAATCGAAAAATGTATAATTTATATTTGTCCTTCCGTTTCGAGAAATATTAAAAATTGAAGGATAGTTTAGATAATAAAAGATTTGCTCTTAAATAGAAAATAATTTAGCATAATTTATCATTATCAGGCGTATGATTATTTCATTATAATTACGTAATTTCATTCATTAATTTTACTTTTTATTACTTTTTATACCATTTTAATATTTTTAATTACTTTAATATTAAATTTTAAAACATATTTTTTTTTTTTTTTTTTTTTTTTTTTTTTTTATATTAATTTTGAATTCTCGCTACGATTAATTCGAATTTATTCGTCTTTTCATGAAAAATTTTAGCTTGCAACAATATTTAATTTTTTTTTGTTCCATTAGCTTTGCTTATGATCAGCCTGCTCACCCAACTATTTGCAATCCCTACAGTTGCCAATATTATATTTATATTTTTCCATCGCCTAAGTGTTTAAATTTGATAATAGGATATGATCGTTAATATAATATCAGATTAATGAATACAGAATGATATTGGCAAAAGAAATCATAAATTTATGCGATATATTAGCTTGTCTTCAATGACAATTGCTTAGATTATATACTTTTATTATGTCATTACTCTCTATCTTCATGCGAATTCGATAATAAAATTTTTCCATTATTTGTCTCAGTTTACTAATATTTCAATCTTCTTCCTTATTCCCCGTTAATAGTGAATCGTTTTTAGGCACAATTAATTTACCATCATCCATTAAATCAAAAGAATCTGCATACGATAATGCATAAATCGTACCATTAATCTAAATCCCTTTTATATTCATTTATATATAGATCAGATAATTTATTCCATAACTAAATTGAATAACATTGCTCATAGCTAGCAGGTCTTGTTTTAATCTGACATAGATTTCAAACGGTTCGTATTATTTCCTATTCATGAGATACAATAACAGTGATTAAGACATTTACATGTACAATTAATTATTATTTTGATAATCCTGAAATTCGATGCACTGTCGTATCCGTAAATATAGAAATATTAATGTTGTTTATGTAATGCACTGAAAATTGACAATTACAAAACTAAAGAATTATTTAAGACTTTTGCGAGTCATTTCTTTTCCCTTATTTAAATAAAGTCGAACGAAACTTGAAAGGAAGCCTGAGACTATAGTACTATCAGGTTTTAGAACTTTTTCCCTACCCTTTGCTCAGGACTTCACTCACCTCTTGCAACTTGCAAGTACTACTAGAAAACCATAACGAACAAAAACGAAGATACGGACGTTATTGGAGAGAAGGCGAACATTGTGGGAAAGCGGGACTGATGTGACCAAGAAGAAAAATAAATTTTATCGAAATAACTAAGACGAACACTTCCTCGCTCAACTTTTTCCATACTCTCAAACACACTATCGAAAATTATATATTTACTCTTTTCATGAAATTAATTTTTCTAATTTTATCGATAGAATAATAGCCCTCTGTTGACATTACTTTACGTTGCATTACATAATCTTTATAATATTAGTTAGATTAACTTTGGCCGGCGCTCGATATCCATCGTTATTTCAGTATAATCAATGACTTGAGTAAGCAAAAGACTAAATGGTAAAGAACATTTTCATCACTTTACGTCCACTCTTTATTTATATAGGAACAAACGGTATATTTTTGTTATAACGCTCCTTATCATAATCGAATTTCATAAATATCTTATATAGATAATATGGACTTTCTATACGTTGAATTCATATTCGAATTATCAAATCATCCAACTTGTTTCAGTCGATTTTACAAGCAACTTGAAAAGTAAGATATATAGATAATTAAAGGATATGAAAGCTCTGTGTAAAAATCTGAAAGTATGATCATTTAACGATAATAATAATATACTCGTGCATCACCTTATAAATCAATTCAAATAAATTTATACTAATTATCATAATATAATAATATTTTGCTTATGGTACAATGCACGTGATTAAATTGTCAACGGATTGATAAAAATGTTTATAAATTTGAATTATTTATATTTTCATCAAAGGATTGATCACAATGGCTATTGATAAAATTCAAATAAAATAGCTGAATAATGTCAAATAGATTATTTATTAAAATATGTTTTACATACATGTATATTGTTGATAGTAAAATAACATAGGAGAAAAAATTTTTTTTTTTTTTTTTTTTTTTTTTTTTAAATATTCACATACCTAATTACTTTTGTATTACTATTATATTTGTATTACTATATTAATAATATTAGCTGGTTAATAATAGTAGTGATACAGTGTTGTGTTTTTTATGAAATATATGCATGTTGAAACAAAAAAATTTTGTTTTATTCGTCTGATACTTATTTTATAGATATCTATGATTTCTCTATAGAATTTCCGATTTAATGATTTTTTTCTACAACAACAAATGATAGGATCTAAAAGAGACTATTTCAATAATCTTTTATCAGTAGTAATAAATTACTTAATCTACCTACTTTCAATAATAAAATGATTCATTAACATGAATTTTATTTGTATTGTACAGTTAATATTTGTTAGTATTTTGTTCTTTTTAATATAGTGAAAGCATTTCAATTTTTGTTTTATAATCGTAAAAAATAGCTGTAGAAAAGTAATATATAATAGAAAATCTTACATAATTTTATATTGCTTATGATTAAGATAAAAAATTATGTAACTCCTTATATTCGATATGCTTATTCTTATTCTTATTCACATTATTCTTTATTTCGATATATTATTGTATGAAATATTATAAAGTTTAAATGAATACACTTAGATATGAATATCCATCTGGCATATATTTAAATATAAAATGTGTATATAATATATAAAGATAATATGAAATGGTTTTAAAAGGATTTTAAATAACAATAATCTCAAGAATAATGTGTCGCTTTGAACATAATTAAAAAATTAATATTAAATAATTATTTTTATGTTTATTTATAAAAAAATTATACACATAATTTATAATATAATGGGTGGATAAAATATTAAGCACAATTATTTTTTATATCTTTCAATTAAACACTTAATAGTAATTTTCTCACAAAACAATTTTTATTCGCATACATTTATTCTCTCCGGTCAATCCTATCAATTACGTATGATCTATTTTCATGACTTTGCAACGAATACATTTTTTTTTTTTTTTTGCATAAAGCTACCACTCTCGTATAATAAGAACGTAGTTGCCGCAAATTGACAAGGCAAAGCATTGGTCCGTTTATGCAGACTTACGTAATATCGTATGTTTACACTGTAGCAACTTATCTCGATCCTGGAGGATTAGGGGACTCGAGGCAGTGTTTAAAGGACGGAAGTTCGTCGCCGCAAACGTCAATGACCGGAAATCATCTTGATGTGCCACGCTCGCTAGAGCCAAATCCTAATCTTCTCAGTCCCGAAATTCTCACTCAGAGAAGAGGTAATCCATTTGCCTGGGATCCCAAATGCCCAGCTTTATCAAACTTATTGCGGCATTAGCACATTTTCCTGTATAAAATATCAAAATTTCGCACTTCTCTTTAAGAGTTTATGAAAATGCTTCGGTAAATTCTTGTTCAAGTTGCGAAACTGTTTAACGAGAATTCAGTTCTACCAACTATGAAGCCTTTTAATTTGTTGGTTACTAATTTATGCAAAATACTTTTTGTTCGGAGATGATTAAAGCCGTTTAAAGTCGCATTACTAAATGTGTAAATTCTTCTAGAAAGCCATTTTAGTTAATCGAAGCCGCAAAATTATAGTATTTAAATGGTAAAAAAATTATTTTTAATATTTATAATTATTGCTTTGATATTAAATAACAGTTTATTAATGTTAAATCTCATAAATATATTAAATAAAAATTAGTCAGGCTATTATTGAATTTATTATTATTCATAATCATTTAATTTGACATATATCAATGGATTTAAAATCAATTGTCTGAATTATAAATGAAAAATTCATGGAAATGAATAGAAATTTTTTAAAATTTTTACACCCAAGTAAGGAATATTGGAAATGTATGTAATATTCTTAAATTTTCTATAATCTATATACATTCGTAGTATCTAACTTTATTCTTTCAAATAATATTATAAAATGCGTTGTTTCGAGGACACGAAGAAAACTTAATAATGTAAATGGATGAATAAATATCAATAAAAATAAATAGATAAAATAAAATATAAACTTGCTTTACTTTAATGAAGGATAATTCACTTACTGCAAAAGTTTATTAATAGAAAATCTATAATACTTTGTTGTAAATTTATTTTTATTCAATTGATAAATTTTACTATGTATACGATAAACAATATTATACAAAATTATAAATTATTTACTTATTGAAATTATCTTTCGGATGCGACGATGTTCCATTCAGACTAAACGTCATATTACAGTTCGTGAAAATAAATTTTTCACGAAACAACTTATCATCTAGTAACTATTCTGATTGCATTTATGTGGACCAAAATTTCGATTCAATGAATAATAAATTATCATACTTGTATAATCATAAAACGAAACAGTCACTTCCGCTCATCCATCATAGTGCATTTATTATTAATCGGTTTATTTTGATATGAGAGCAATGCATGATCGCGTGTAAATGGAATTTATCCCTAGGGAGTCGAAGACCGAGTATCCTACCAGTACCAGACACGTTAACGAGTTCCACGTTACATCTGCCCGGCCAAGAATCACTGGACCATGAAGGAGACGAGTCGGAAGATGAAATGGACGACGACGTTCCTTGGCGATCACCAAGTGAAAAAATAGCGTAAGTAAATTTCATTTGACGATTAATACTGTTTAATTTACTCTCTGCAGTCTATTATTTACAGAAATGTGCGATTAATATTAAATCATACGTTATTAAAATTAAACCTAATCAGCTATATCAATAATTTCTAATAAAAATTTTTTATAATAGAAAAATTTCAAAAAATTGTAAAGAACATTGAAATCAACATATTGAACATTTTTCATGAATATGATTAAATGTGAATTTCAACGATGAATTTAATTGATTCATTATGTATAATATCATTAAAAATATTATATTGTAATGTTAATATTATTGGACGGAAAAGTATTTAACAGCATAAGAAATGATTTTAAATTACATGACCGCGATTTTGTCAAAAGCTGATGAAAAAAAATGATATTTATATAATCGAGTCTCTTACCTTATGCGCTATATAACCGAATTATAACAGAATTAAAATTGCAACTTATTTAAAAAGTCAATTTTTAATAATATATCTACAATAATACAAGAAAAACTTATTATGATATTTTATTGAGCAATAAAAACTAACCTACTTCTTATAACTAATAACTCTAAAATCTTGGAATTTTATGTTAAATATTATTTTATTTTTGTATGATTACTGTGGGTTATTTATTGATATAAAAGAAATCATTTGTTTGAAATAAATTTATGAGATGAAGGTCTATATAACGATGTACAATGAAAATTTAATTGCAATAGCTTTCAACTGAAATATTATCATAACAGAAAGGAAATTTTAGTAAATCAATGCAAATTAATAGATTCTTCGTGTACTCGACATCACTATCTTATCACATTAGCTAGTGTTCACGACTAATTCACGTTGAGGAAAACCTTATTTGAACTAGCATCTGAAGGTCTATTTAGGAAAATAATACTTTTCTACATTAAAAATTCAATTAAATCACTTGGAGCATTAAAATTATTGGATTAGTAGTAACTCACAAAATGCGTCATAATTTTATATTGATTTACAAAAAGAAAAAAAGTTTATTTTAAATAGTAAATATAATGTAGAGTGTTAACTAAATATAGTTCCCTTATATTATCATACTATTATATAAGAAATTTTTAATTATCACATACATTTACTCATTCACGATAATGCCGGTTAATAATACTAATTACTAACAATACAAGTACATAATACTATTTTCAATTCTAATTCTAATAATTAATGAGAAATCTAGCGTTATTGATCTCAACTAAAAAAGCTAAAGACAATCTTTGCATATAAACCACACATTTGTATGAAATAAATGATGTCATTTACATTCGCTCACATTTATAAACAAAATTAAGTACCATGATTTTTTATTAAACCCGAGAAAATCGAATGTCTGAGGCTTCTAAAAGTGAGCCATTAACCAAATGCGGTATGGACCAAGGAACATTAGGTATCTGCGTAAACAGATACCCTCCAGACATTCAAAGTTCATCTGCATAATCCATATACATTGAATCGAGAAGACAATATTAAGGAACTGCATGCTATCATCGTTGTCGTTACTATAAGGAAACTCGCCGGTACTTGCTGTAATATCATATATGCGTTTCGCTTCATAGCAGCCATTGCTCGCGTTCAAGTATATATAAATACATAAGCCCCTCAACATGTCCATTGGCCCTTCATGATCGCATAGAATTTCGGACTCGACGATCAATCTTTACAGCCTATCATCAAATAGCTTTTAATATAATTTTACGATCGTCCAAGTTACGTTCAAGACACGCGCCCTTATAAACGCATGCGCATGTCTAGAAATGTATATTTACATACTTACTTGCATATATATATATATATATATATATATATAATAATAATAATCATAATATATATATATATATATATATATATATATATACATTTTTGCAGGAATGTCATCTTCGTATTTATTTTTCTTCTTTCTTATTAAAATCATAATGATGCATAATTTACGTGTAGAATACCTTATGAATTAATATTGCAATTTGAAAAAAACCACGTGAGCGTTTAATAGAGGTTTAATAAACAATCTTAAATGTATAAGAATAACACTTTCAATAATTTTTTATTATTAAATAATTCTCTGGGTTTTTTTCCAATTGTAAATACGCCCATTTTTTGTTATTAAATATATATTTATTTTTTATAGAAAAAAAAAATTATAATAAGCTTTTTTTAATTAAAATATAAGAATAATTATTGTTTATGAATATAAAATTTGCTTCCACTCAAGCTAAAATTTATTACTGGATATATTAGTTATTCCCATTTTATTTCAACCATTTATATCTTATCAGTTAATTTCGGAATAAAATATTTATAATTAAAATAAACTTTTTTTACATATGACATAGTTATTCGGTATATTCATTTAGTGAAACAATAATTTACATAATTTTCATTCAATTTTAATCATTGATCAATAGCATTACGAATATTTATAGAATCATATTTTATATTTCTCTAACTATAATTAAACAATTGTAATATTATAATATTTATATATTATAAAAGTAGTAACATAAGATTATTAGAATTTAATAATATAGTAGTTGGGATGTTAGTTCTAACTTGTTAAAATTAATAATAATGTTTTTTTTTTTTTTTTTAATCGAGGGCTTAATAAAATATAGAATTATGGAGTTATCAGACGAAAAAAAGATTCTTTTCGCTAAATTTCTCTCTTTATACGATAATCTGTCAAGTTAAACATTTATGTATGTATGTGAATATATGTAGTAAAAAAAAAAAACAAAAAAAACAAAAACAACAACAACAAACAAACATGATGCCGTTGTAATTGACGACTTTATGCCTGTCCAACATCCCCACTCTCTGTTAAAAAAAAAACTCGTGGATGTTTTTGATGTCTTCCTTATCTGCATCGTCTTTGTGCACCTCACGTTCTCTGCACGTCGTGCGATGCCAACTGTGTACGTCCCCTCCCCTCGCAGTTTCAAAGGGTGAGTCTCACGCAATTTTGTTTTTCTTATTTTATAATGTTCGCTCGGTAGATTTTCAATTATATCCTACTTTTGCATCCTCTTAATCTTTTATTATATATATAATTGTAACTCATGCACAAATGCAGCAATAATTTCTCTTCAGTTTTATTAATGTGCTTGAAGCTTTTATCAAGTAATGCTCTTTTATTACTATCCTTATAATAACAATCTTTTTTATGTCAAATGTAAATATAATGTTGTAATTACGTGCATGAATAATATAAATTAAGACAGAAAGTATTTTGTAATTTTGGGATGAACTTATAGTGGGTTATGTATATCAACATTTTCCACATTCTTTCTTTTAATGTATTTGGATTAACTAAAATCTTATTATTTATATAATTCCACTTATATAATATTGTTTAAAATTCATAATTAGTGTCTTTTATTAATTTTGGTTTTTTTTTTTCATTTGTTTTTGTTTTGTTTTTATATAATTATACATTAAAAATGATTATTAGTCCTCATAATTCGTCTCAATAATTCTTTTCCTTTTATTTTGATAATTCATTGCTTTTTTTTAATAATATAGCTATTTGTTTTAAGTATTCATATATACTATTGATCAACAAAGTATAAATTTTAATTATAAGTTATTACTTGTGAATGAATATAATATTACATATGATTGGACTTAGAATATTATAATTATATAATAATTTACTAACTCTGTATAATTAATCCGACTATTTTATGTCTCAACTTCTTATTTATGCATTATGCGCTTACTGTAAATGTATGTTGCAAATATAAAGATTGAAATATATTGTTGTAAACATTAGATTTATTATGGATTTTGATTTCCGTCATAATATAATTTCGAAAAATATTGTCAGTTCCAAAGTGTATTTATAATATGATCGACATGGATAACAAGCATTTAATAAATTATAAATCTCTCGTAGTAATTCTTAATAATTTCTCAAAATAATTTTTATGTTTTATCGAGTTTATATCTCTAATGTCACGAGACATTGTATACTTCAAATCGTCTGATTGTAAAATAATGTCGATAAGAGAGCCTTCAAAGGCCAACGCTTATAATCATGAAAAAGCTAGAATCGAGATTATGCATTTGTTCGATTTTATGTAGAATCTTTGTATAAAAAATAAAATAAGAGGCAGAAGAAAATGGAGACCGTAAGTTACAATTTTTACGGTAGATGAATAAAAATTTTTCGATTACTATCGACAGCACGAGAATCAATTCTGCTGCATAAAAGTAATCTAATGTAAAAATTTGTAAATGCTTTTATTGAACAGCAGTTATAGTAAGCAGAAAAAATATCTATGTTAATTCCAAATATATAAGCATTGCATAGAGTATTTACAATAACAATGAAAGATATGTTTTGACTAGAAATAATTATATCAAATATATATAATGCGATTAATTTAAAATACTTTTAAAGCAATTTTGAAAACTTTAAAGCGCATCTATATTTATTTAAGAGGTGTTATTTTGAAACTGTGTTTGCAGTTTAATTGGAGGGGTTATAATCCACTCATACTGCGGTCGCAAGTAAATACATATAATGTTGAATAATCTATTTAGTGTACAGAAATGTCGACAAGTTGGTTAGGGTCAAGAGTTAGCTCCAGATTTCCTGATCCGAGTTTGCATGTTCTAGCTAGTAAAGTGAATCATAAGTTATTTAAAATAAAAATTTCCATAAAACAATATTTTTGAGCGAATTATAAGTAGAAGAATTTTCATATTCGATTTTTTCTTTTTTTTCCTTTTTTTTTTTCTTTTTTTTTACCTAAATTTTTACTGCAGTTCACAAAATTTTATAAATTTTTCAAATCGAATTATATCGAATTATACTAAAATTCGAATTTGTCAATATAAAATAAATATCATTTACATCATTGTTAAGCGTATAAAAGAAAATGCATTCGTTAAGTCTTAATAAACTATCCTATACGATATTCATATTTTAATAATTAAAGATTTTTATATGCAATCAAAATTTTGTTTTATTTCTATCTCTGATTCAATAATATAATAAACTAATAAATGAAAAGTAATTAAAGCTCTATCCCTACTTCACATATTAATTAATAACAGAGATAATATAACGTTATTCAATTCTATATGATAATTATAGCGATTTTTATACAACGCTTATCTGTCCCAGGAAAATCATAAATAGTAAGAGTTAAGCAGCGAAGCAAGCCAATCCATTAGAAAATATGATCAAAAGCTTGCAGCAGAAGCTTTGGCGAAAAAGTCGAAAATAATCGCCATGACATCGGTAAAGGAAACGGCTAGATTGCCATCGCCTGAACGAATTGTTTCAATGAAATTCCGCCCCTAATCGGTTGACATGTTCTCATTCAAAATTTGACTGACGCGACGCAGGAGGTATCACCGATGATATCCTGCAACAAGACCAATATCTATTATTTTATTAGTAAAGATAGAATATAACAATTTTTTATACGGCATTAACTTTGAAATATATATATATATATATATATATATATATATATATATATATAATACGAGGAAAGTAGAATAAATAATTTTATTTTTCATAAAGAATAATATAAATATTTAGAGATTATTATTGTTATATAAAAAAAAATATTTTTTTTACCTTTAGTAATCTAAATTTCTAAATTATTGTAAAATCTCTCGACACAGTAGTATAGGAATTTTGTTGAATAGTGTTAATTTGAAATAACAAAGTGATTAGTATTAATGGTTAACAGTTGTCTAGTCTAATCAATTATTTATTTGTAGATACAATTCCTGATCAAGATGAGTACGCGTTAGAGAAAAATAAATATATTAAAATGTAAAATATATTAAAAAATAAAATTAAATAAATATATTACTTACACTTTTCTATATCAATAATTATTATTATCTATTTCTAACGTAATGGTTGGGCGATTTTATTCTTCTATCTCGCTGCGTAGTATATTTACATAGTATATTTCAATATGGCGCTATTAGTATGATCGAATCGATTCGTCCATAAAGCCAACTTTTTATCAAGATGTCAGTCCAATGGCAATATATATATATATATATTGTCGTTCTTATCATTCTACGTGCTGTTGAAATATAGGTTTTATTGTCAAAAATAATACATATAGACGTGTTCTTTCATTTTCAAGTTTTATTAGAAATTAAACGTAAAATGATTTATAAAGAAGAATACAATCGAGAATAAATATCATTATATATCATGATAAATGTATGGTTAAGTTTTTTTATTGAATAAATAATTTATTTATTGAAAATAAATTCACTCTCGAATTTACGTTATTGGTAAGATAAACAAATTGGAGATACGTGTTCTATAAATATTATTTCGTTTACAACTGTAAAGTTCATTTATAACTCATTCCAATAACAAATTGAAAGAAAGATATAAATTTCGTTACAAAGTTTCACAAATCAATGATGGATTTTTAATGAAAATAGAGTAGCTATTTTATTATATATTCGAATCATATATATATATATATATATATATATATATATAATTGAATTAAAGTACAAAAATGTATCTTATCAGAGTATATTGAAAGGAGGGCAAATAGGCAATTTCATTATCGGGAAAAGTAAGATTAGAAAAGCCAGCATTAAAATTAAAGTAATGATAGAGTCGGAGCGATATCTACAAAATCTCATGACGAATACAGTAATGATGAAAATTGAGATCAGACTGCCGAGACTGGCGCCCACCCTGATCGCCAACACCATCCATGTCTCATCGCGGGATGAGCTGCTATCACATCACCCCGATACCGGTGTAAATAAATCTGAAGAAGGGGTTCGGCTCGACCAACCCAACGCCAGACCCATGCATAAAGCACTGAGATGATTCGCTAAATACGCGTGAATATCGATCGGGTATTTTCCGTCGTGTAAATTGAGAATGTACATAAATAGAGACGCTTCGTGGGCAATTGAAAGGTAATATTGATATATTTAAAGTGTAAGCATTCGAGCCGACGTTATTATAGCGATGCGATAATAATTGCATCAGAGCAGACGTAAAAAGAATATTTAAATTTCAATGGCCTTCATATCTGAATAAAAATTAATTACAAAATAACAAGTAGGGAAATATATAGATTTCGTTATTTCGATTTCACGTGCGTTTAAATTATTGATAAAACTAATACAATGATTATACCCATCCATAGAATGAAATAGTAAATAGTCATATATGTATAGGTAAAGGGTAATTACTTGAGTGCACTGATTTCATAAACATAAATAACAAATTAATGCTCTTAATAAATAGTATTTAACATTTGTATGAATATAAATTTATATTATATAAGTGACAATGTAAATTGAATATTAAAGCTGTGCTAATGCGCACATAAAAGCTTCTATACATAATAAATGGAAGACTTACTGTCGTATAATTTCTAATGAAAATAATTCGTATGACGCAAGCGTGGCATAAAAAAATTTTTTTTTCGTTCTCTTCCTCTTAAAAAGAAAAAGAAAAAATTCAGTTTTGAAATAATTCTAATTCCAAATAAGTTTTCTCATTTTTATTGCACTTATGTTATTGCATGCTATTGTTGAACTCCTCACTAACTCTTTTGTGCTCGACTTTAACGTTCGCAGACAAAATTATTAGCGTGCTCGTTCAATAGATAAAACCAAGATCATTGCAAACTAATTAACATTGACTAAACATATTTGTAAATGCAAGAAAAAGAAATTAGTGTAAAAAACTTCCTCCTTCAATGTAATAACTAATTATTCAATTCTCCACAAAATAATAACGTTCTTGTATTTTCTGTGACTTGCATAAACTTAATATTTCTTACATTTCAGATTGAATTTGTAAAAAAAAAAAAAAAAAGAAAGAAAAAAAACCATGTCTTTTTCATTTTTCTTTTTTACTTTTCTTTTTATATATATATATATATTTTTTTTTTGCCTTTGAGCTTTTTCTTTCTCTAACCAATAAATACCAACACTAACAGAAATTGTTGAAACTCGAAACTTCAATGTCTGTGTATTGATTAAAATTATCGAAGGCATTGTATCTATATCGAGCTTGAAAATACTTGTATATAGGATATTCTTAACTATACCACATCGATCCTCTTTATAAAAGGACTATCCAACTCTATAAAGCTTATAGAGTGTAAGCGATATGCACGTAAATCGACAGCATGGGCCGCCTTGTCGGCAGTAACATTCAAAGGAACAAAATTGCAAAGGAAGATACTGACGTATGCAAATAATGTTACAGAATCGTCAAGGGATTCCCGCCAGTTTCGCCGTTCATCGGTGTTTCGCCAACTCTCTGCTACTTGCTCAAAGAAAAGAAGCCACTTTGCTGCCTTCAACTTGCTCAGGTAACACTGTATAAGTATATATTGGTACACGCATTCCTTCGTCTTCTTACTACGTCGCTCCTTTCGCCCCTCCCCCGCCGATTTCGATGTCACCGGAACCAGCTTCTGGTTTAACGAGATTTTCACCCCACCGACGTCCTTCATATCCGTAGCTCGCGTCTTTTCTTTATCCGTTACCTAGTCGTAGCTCCACGGCCTACTTTGTGCATATAATCCCCTTTGTTTCAGGTCTGTGAGCACTGCAGCTACAGAAACGCAAAGGAATACAATTGGCAGAATAAAACGATCATACTGGCGGCAGACTACGCCAGTAATGGCATTTATAATTTTATCATACCGTTAAGAGCGCACTTTAGGTACGTTGCAAAACGAAACTGTTGTTTAAATGCAAATTTCAATTGCAGTCACAGCATTCACAAGGACGAGCTTAGATAGACAATATATTCCTCTGTAAAACATTGAAATTACGTACAAGAAATTGGCCTTTGTCAATCTGTTTATTTGATCGTTTCTTCAATTCCTTTACAAAGTGAGGCAAAAGTTTTTAATAAAAAATACTTGAATACTGTCGTTATTGATTAGCGAGACTGGAACTATTTTAATATGAAGCAACTATTTATTAAAGTCATTGATTATGATAGATTCATAGTAACATATCCAAACAAATTGGACTCCTATATAAATATATATATATATATATATAGAGAGAGAGAGAGAGAGAGAGAGAGAGAGAGAGAGATCAAGGATTGAAAGTAAAAATATTAACATTAATTTTTATTATAATGTAACGATAAAATTTACACGATATTATTATATTTAAACTTCAATTTAACCAACACTAAATTACAATATCATTTATTACGATATTTTTAATGTAAAAACGATAAAGTACATGGGAAAATGTTAAAGATAAACATGATAATTTTGAAAATCCATTTGTATTATGAAGCGAATAAAATTAGCAATTTAATTAAAAATGACATATTTATTTTGAAAACATTAATAAAAATTGTTGATTTAATTGTTGTCACTTATATGGTCAATGACTTCTTATATACAGGCTAAACTTATTTTATCAAAATATAAATAAATATTTTGTACTGTAATTTCAAAATCACAAGGAATATGATGAAAATATATATATGTTGAATGAAAATTGCTCGTTCTTATCAACAGTAGGACAATTTCATAAAAGACTCGTCTGAAATTATAAAGATCTTTCCTTTCATCACTACATAATTTATTCAGAAATTAAGATTTTGATAGCCAAGTATTGTACCTAACGAATGTTCTCCGAAATATATCGTCCGTTAAGCAGAAAATATTGCTTTTAATAACTTGAGCGTTTTAAAACTTCACTACTTATTACTTTTTTTTTTTTTTAATGAAATATTTTAAAAATTTAGAAAAAAAAATCAAAAGCTTAACGTATTTTTTACTCAACAATTTACATTAAGTTTGAGCTTTAAAGGCTAAGATTCTATTTATAATACTCTATTAGGTTGTATATCGTAAAAAGTAACATAAATTAATGTTAAAGTTTTTTAGCATTGAAAATAAAAACTTCTTCTTTTAACGCGCGTAAGTTATTATTATGTGCAGTCTCGTAGCTCAACATAAGCACATATTGACTTGGTTCTTTTAAATTCAGGCACATATCTCTTATTTAACATACATTTCAATGTGATAAAATCTATTCTCCCTCCTTGTCTCTTCGTAGATCGAAAACTTCCCTCAACCCCATAATTTTACTACTCGAGAGAAGACCAGAAATTGCCTTTCTGGACGCGATCTCGTATTTCCCTCTCGTTTACTGGATGCTGGGTTCGATAGATTGCCTCGACGACCTGTTACGTGCCGGCATTACGTTAGCGGAGAACGTTGTCGTCGTCAATAAAGAACTAAGTAACTCCGCCGAGGAGGATACCCTGGCCGACTGCAACACCATCGTTGCCGTACAAACTATGTTTAAGTGAGCATTTTCAGCCTATCCTCGGCTATCCATCTTTTATAAATCACGTGAATAATTTAAATCAAACTACTCCTTCATTGTTATGGAGTTAATATCTATAAAGGTGATTTTGCTTCGTGTAGTGCGCTATTATTATTAATGATTGTACCATTAGAGTGTGAGCGACAGGCACTTTAAGATTTACTTGCCGTGAGCGGAACAGAAATTTTCATTATGAAAAATGACATTTAATCTTCAACCTACTTTAGCAACTATAATCATGATTTTAAGTTGAAATTAATTTCTGTTAAATTCGATGAAAATGCCCTGCGTGCTTTATAAAAAAAAAAAAAAAAAAAAAAAAAAAAAAACGAAAAGAAAAAGAAAAAAGAGAAAAACTCTACTTGTCGTCATATATTACATTAAAATATTCATTACATTTCATATTGACACAACATCAAATAATTCTAATGGCAATACATACTGTTCGCAATCGCGAATATGAACAACATTGATCATAAAATAATAGAAGCATTAATATTTTTGAAAATGCCCATCACCACCATGCCCATTAAATGCGCCATACAAAACTAATCTGACTTTATAAAAATATCTGCTCGACAGATTTTTTCCCAGCATAAAGAGCATCACCGAATTGTCCCAATCGAGCAACATGCGTTTCATGCAGTTCCGGGCGCATGACAAATACGCCCTCCACCTCAGCAAAATGGAAAAGGTACTCCTAAGTACTACTTCCGGTGACAACTACCCCGCTGAGCCTTCGCTAGGCTCCCCGGTAACATGCAATCATTCACTCTGATCTCTGATATTACGACGATATAAGAATATGACTGGATAAATGGATTAATCAATCGATTGATTTATCCATTTTTCCTATCTTAGGTTGGCACGTTTCGCATCTTCTCAGCCCTCGAATTTTCCTACTAGCTCATTCCGCTTAAAATAAACATTTTTCACACAACGTATTACATAACGGTCTAAAATTGATTAAAAATCGTTTTAAGGGACAAGTTTTATTTATGTTTTTATTATGTGATTCAAAGTATACTTGTAAATTTCATATTTTATTCGTAATGGGGCTCGAATTAAATTTGTACGACACTGCTGACAATCATTAAAACAACAACTTCCGTACATTTACTTACATTTACAAATTTGCAAGCGAAATTTTTGATATTTGACATTGTCACAACGTAAATTTCACTTACTTTTACAAAATTACGTCTGATTATGCCGATAGAATTTATATTAAAAATTAATAAATCCACTTACGCGAAGCAACAAATAATTTAATGATCGTTTCAAAAGAATTTTCAAGGAATTTAATGAAAAAAAAAGAAAAAAACAAATGAAAGAAAAACAGGAAAGTATAATTTTTTAATCGGAATCATGCATATATGCATATATGCATTATAAATAAATCCAAGGCTCTTGCACGAGTACAATAATTAAAACACAAAGGTTTTATCGGTAAATGTACACATATTTTTAATATTTTTATCTCGTACCTTAAACTGATCCAACTAATCGACAATGCATATAGGCTCTGTAGGTATTTTAGATTTATTACGGGAAACGAATTTATCCATGCAAAATACTTATCCATTGTAATCGAGTTTGTAATATTATTCAAGACTTTGCTCAGTACGAAAGATTCTCTCTTAGTCCACATTACTCCTCTCGGGTCTACAAAATTTCGTTAAAACTTCGTTTCGTTAAATTTCGTTAGCGCATCGATGTAAGCCACTTTCACGAGCAACGCCTGATGAAAGAGCGAATTACGAACGTCCACTACTACGCAAAACACGCACTACAAAAATCCTAGAGCTCTCTCAATAAAGGAGATAGCGCATAAACGAAGAGCGATCGCGGATCATATGTAGCTCAGTTAACGCGCACGAGATAGAAATCTACTTTATCTTAAGTGCTTCGTTGGACATGCACTTATCGACTTTTGGAATAACTTCTTTTACGTGGCCGTAAAATGCACGAGTTTCCCGTCTCCGACTTCTTCCGTCAACGATATCGCATGATGCATGGGAAATACGATGAAAATCAGCCGTAAAAATTGAAAGAGGGAGCTCGAAATTTATTACTGTATTAACCATTCTTTTTTAACTTTTAAAAGTGAATTAAAAACCTAATTGTAAAATATTGTTTCTTAAAGCGCAGCTCGATTAGATATACTTTTTCTTAATCGTAGTAAAGTGAAAAAACTTTGTCAACGTTCTTATAATTAGTTATTCAGTAAGCTCTCCGATACAAATTTCTTAATTTCTAAGCAATACCGGATGGAAGATATTTGTTTAAACATCATGTAGTCTGATTATATATTATCTTACTATTATGTTTATAGTATGCCAAAGATCGGTTAATACGAAATTATCGGCGTACATATTCATTTTGCTTTCAATTGCGAGTTGCAAATATTCTATCAACATTGTACAATATATTTAACAATAATATTTGTATGTATGTAATAAGCAGAGGGCAATGGACGTTAATTGAGACGAGTAGATTGTTCGTAAATAGTGATAGCTACTTGTTAGCGAATTACTTAGTTGTAATTCGTTGAAAATTCACGCGAATACTTTTCCTTAATTCGCCTATTAAACGAGCCTTATGTTGTTAATACAGAGTATCATTAATTTTGCTAGGGAATGGCTTACTTTCATTTCTAATACTTAAATCGCAACCTCATAACTCATGATTATTTATTTTTATGATTATTTGAATTTCACTATTTGTAATACTAAGAAATGATTAGTTGTATTTGTTGCTCGCATCAATAATTTACACATGATATCGCCTATCTCTATTTATACTTAAAATAACTGTTTCTGGGGAAAAAAAAAAAAAAAAAAAATCAACACCCAAGCTGTATATCTTAATTTATGTATGTCAAATGAAATTTATAGGTAATTATTGTCAGTAAAATCTTGAGCCCGAGAATATAAAACGTGAAAAATTAAATCCTGATGTGGTAATTAAATTATATGACCTAATGATAATCTATTATTAACATTTTAAGTGCGAGCTGTTAATTAAACGAAAATCTATAAATCATATAAATGAATAAATCAGAATAATTCAATTCCCTAAGTAAACATTACGTGGACATACTAGTATTTCTTGCCTCGTAAAGTGTTAAAAATTCTAATAATTAAATTTAAAATGCGGTTAATTATACGTACGAAGATGGGAACGTAGCTGCCTAATTGTAGAAAGTCAAGGAAAAGCACATTTAGATCGTAAATTTTGTTATAATTTGCTTGATAAGATATTTATCTAACTGATCTTTCATAGCATCGTAGGCATGACAGTTTGGAAAAAAATTGAATTACAGTTTTACGCTTATTTATAAATCGTAGTATTATTTTCAATTATAACAACTTGAAAATAATCTTTAATAGTATTTAGATACTCTTATTAATAAGTAATATGTTATTTATTATGCAATATACTAAATATTACGTTAAATAAAAAAGTTTTTACATATAAACAGTAATTATTTAGAAAGTATATTGCATTTATTTATTTATTTATTTATTTTTTTTTATAATACAATATATTTTTAAGGAAATTCTATTTCACTCTCTTTAAATATTTTGTAATGATCCTATTTATTATTGAAATTATTTGTAAATATCATTTAAATGTTATTGGCGATAGTGAATTACTAAATAGTGTAGATAAATGATAACATAATGTGTCATTAGTTCATCATGGCATTGCACGTTCGAAGTATTTGATCAACCTTAGGGATAACAATTTCAATTGCAAACAAGATCAAACATTGCATTAAATAAATAAATTATTTCTAAATATCTTTTGTCATTTAAAGCTAAATCATTACTACTTTAGCAGCATGTTTAACATAGTATACTTTTATAACAGATTCTGGCTAATGGTGATCAAAAGGTTTTAAACTAATGTTAGTTGGTTGAATATTTAAACATTTTGCTTATTTTGCTAATAAAATTAATAGTTGCTATAAAAATTAATTGATTAATCATAAATATAATGAGTAAAAGATTGAATTTGGCGAAATGTACCGGTGAGCCCGTAGCATGTGTTTGAACGTTGTAGATAAAAGAATAAAATACTTTTGAAAATCTTTATCTCTCCCTCTGTCGACCCCTCCTCTGTCTGTCTGTCTGTCTCTCTGTCTCTCTCTCTCTCTCTCCCTCTCTCTCTCCCCCTCTCCCTCTCTCCCCCTCTCCCTCACTCTCTCACTCTCTCTCTCTATCTATCTATCTATCTATCTATCTATCTATTTATCTATCTATCTCTATCTCTAGCTCTCTCACTCTCTTCCTTATTTCAACAAACATAAATTTATATTCTGGCTTACTTCTATTACGTATATGAAAATCTTCTGTGAATATATCAGTAGAATGAGAAAAATAATATTCATATCCCACAATCATGCTAAAGACTTTGGAAATTTTCTCTTCCTATACGGTTATGACTTCTGCAGAGAGAGAAAGAAAGAGGATCGCACATATCGTACATGTTTCGATTGCCATTCGCTGCCGGAAGTGTATTCAGTGCATCGATGCTAGATACCCTGCTTTATCAAGCTTTTGTCAAGGACTATGTGATAACGTTTGTGAGACTGCTCCTGGGCGTCGATCAGGCACCAGGTTCAGGATTTTTAACTTCGGTACGTATACCTACACTTTCATTTATTATCAATACTAGTGAAAATTGCCATAAATTCTTACCAATTATCCTTTCACGCTAACCGATGCGATCCTATATAAAGAAATTAAATACCTTATAATTATAAATAGCCAATAAATTTACATTGACTGTGAATGTCTTTGATAATGTCTTTGAATACTTGTCGTATAATTAAATTCGAATGTTGCTGATTTTTAATACGTGTATTTGCATTAAAAAATTAAATGTAACCCCAGTAATGCTCGTTAAAATTCATGTGATACAGTCTTCGGTAAGAATAAATCGAGGTACGTGAATTGTTCGTAAAATTACAGGAGTTTTACGTTTAATAAAATGGTTTTCATTAAATTCCAAATTTATGGAAAACCATAAAACAGCTATTAATCTATTATTTTATCATTTATGTAATGTGCTCTTTGTCGCTTAAATACTAGTCAAATTCATATGAATAATAAACAAAGAATTGATAAAATTATAAATATAAAAGAATTTAAAAAAAAAAAAAAAGACATAATATAGTAAATTATATATAATACTTATATATGGACCTTACAAAACTTAATTATAAAAAGGCTTCAACTATTACGGATAAATCTATTTCACTAAGCTATATATATTCCAAATAATGTTCGAGTATTATAATATTTGGTTATAAATCTTTTTCAATCAAATGAAAATATTATCACTGTGTCATGGTACTCTTTCAACAACTATTATGATTAAACAATAATTAAAATTCCACATTGAAATGAAATATTTTAAGCTATTTCATAATATATATATATATATATATATATATATATATATATATATATATATATATATATATATAGATATATACATACTTACATATATAACTTTACGCTTTATTACTTATGAAATCTATAATTGATAATGATACTTTTTTTATGAATTAATTAATTCACTAGTGATTACTAATTGAGGATTGTGTTCCCACGAGTTCTCGTTTTTGATATGCCATTAAACAGACCATTTTCATTATATGCTTGAAGTGATAAAAACTCGGCTTTACTCTAATAATAATGTTACGTATTATATTAAGCAACATGAAATAAATATTCGAAATTTTACAACATACAAAGAGACACGCTAAACTTAACAGAGAAATCATTAGTATTAAAATATAATGTACAAATTATAGATGAAGATAACAAAAGAGGACATGTGGATAAGGACTTATGGTCGATTATACCAGAAGTTGTGCTCGACGACCTGCGAAATCCCTATCGGTATTTACAGAACGCAGGACACGTCGATAGTCGACACGTCGCACGTAAGTGTCTACAATCCGTGACGTACTTAAGCTCTCTAGACCATACCACAACCATACGTACACGTATACACGCTTACACGCGCGATCACGCAAAAACACACACGCAAATACACACACGCGCGCGCGCACATAAATACTTACGATTGACAAACTTACCAAGCGCTCAGCCACAAACATTACACGTATGACAAACACATGGAAAAGGAAGTCCAATCTTATCCCTTGACAGTAACACATTTAAAAGAAAGCTCTCGGAAAACCCTTGAATGACCGTCAGCTATATGAGTAGCGCATGGGTGTGGTCTATCTATTTACTTACTTATTTATCTATTATCTATATTTATCTATTCTATCTGATCAATTTTATTGTACAATTGTTACTCTTTTTACATAAACTACATATACACGACTCATAATCCGAAAAACACTCGCTCGTTAATTATTAGTTATCCATGTACATGAATGAAGAACGAATTACCTTCCATCTTATTCCTTGTTTGTAAACTAGGAAAAGCAATTTATATTGTAGCTGATTGCTTATTTAAAATAAACTTAATTAATAATTAATTTAATACACGCTCTATACTATCATTTAGTATATTGTTTAGTATAACAAGTGTAAATATAAAAAATGGCAACTGTTTTATATGTAATAAGTTTAATAATCCTTATATAACTATGTAAAAAGAAATTGTCAAAGAACTCTATAAGTAATAATGATAAATTGATTAGAACTGATTTTATATGTAATATAAATTACGATTTAATGAAAAAATTGGTCTAATAAGTCACGTAGCTAATGATAATAATACTATTACAAAAATAATATACACTTAATAAAATATACCAAAATTTATAATATTGAAAGATGTTATTTTAATTTTTCAAACAACGACGAAAGTACCGTGATTTTCACATTAAGCTTTCGTTGAAACAATCGACTTGGACAACGCTATTAATAGTAATAATTTCAATTTTGTCCCTATTGCTCGATAGTGCATGACCTATCAATTACAATGTTATTTCAATCAAGCAAACAGCTACGTATTACAATATAGAAGCACCCATTTTATTGCGAAATATGTTCTCTAGTCTTACACTACACAATGATAATTTGCTCGTCCTTGCATCGTGGTAGTAACTTATTTAAGACGGAAGATGAGAAAGATAGATAAATGTCCAAGCGGGACCCGGCCAAGAAATAATCCTTGATAAGTGCCGGTCGATAACGAGATAACGAGCCAACTAATATCTAGCAAAAGAAAGGGAATATTAAGAGAAAAGAAAAGTCATCCAGGACGGATTGGAAAGAAGTGGCAAAGTGGCTGCGATGGCGCGCTCATTAAACAAAAATGAAAAAGTACGGCAGTAAGTGTAGAGCTCTGCTTGTTTTGGTTTTTATTTTCGACAGGGAGACTCGGATGGTGAGAGCGACGCCGGCGTCGGCGTTACGTACAAGGTGCGCCACTCGGCCGCCGCGTCCTGCTTAGCAAATTGCACTACTCGCGACAAGGGTGCCTCAGCTGTGAGTACGGTTGACGAATGTGCATCAATTTATTAAAACTCTTCTTTATCCAACATATTCAAATTATTTGTCTCTTTGTCTCTGCATTCAGCACAACTACTACTCTGTGGCCCGCTGCGATCGACTCTCTTTCTCTGTACTTAATTATACTATTTTTATATACTGTTGTGAATGTTTGTCCTCTCGATGTTTCGTGCGAGCTCGCTTTCTTACGTTTATGCTTCTTTTTATCATTTAATTTGGCCTTTTACGTTTTTATGCCCGTGGAACAAAAACTTCATCTTTCGCGAATGAGAGAGAGAGAGAGAGAGCACATGTATTACCATTCCGAGCAAAATATTTTATCACGATTTATACATAATATACTGCACCATCTTAGCATGCACCAACATTTTATTGGAAATATATATATAATAAAAAAAAATATATATATATATATTATGTGTACCATAAATCTACGTTAAAATTTTTAATTTACATATACATGTAAATTACATTTAAATTAATAGAAAAAACAAAATAAAAAAAAAACAACAACACTGCTTTATAAGTATTTGGAGAACAATTGAATTCAAATTTCATCTGACAATTAAATAATTTTTCGAATATTTGAAAATATGCTAAAGGTATTTAATCTTACAGTATAAATAACTTAAAGAATAAATGAAAATCTTATGATATTTTTTTTTCTTATATTAAGTGCTTTTTTTAATAAAAAGAGATGATTCGACATATTTATTTATATTAGCTCTAAAAGCTTCAATTAAATTCCGCATTTCATTTCGAGAAAAATAGATTTCGATATTATATAATATAATTTTAAATATATTAACCTACATGAATTCGAACAATTATTAAAATTTGAAATAAAAAAATGTGTGATTTTTATTAAAAGTTTCACATTATATATCAGAAACTCTAATTATACCAAATTTATAAATCAATTAAGTAAATATTTAATGTTATATTATTAAATTTTCTAATAGTAATATTTCAAAATGAAATAATGCGAATAGATTAGTAATCAGTAAATTTAAGGTTCATTTATTGCGACTAATTTTGCAAACTTATTTGTTTTTGAAAATTTCATTATCGATATTTTGATTCTATAGATTTATATTTTTCGTATTATCAAACATTGTTTTTTGTTTCATTAACATTTATTATGTTAAAATTTATTAATAAATTAATAGAATAAATATTTCTATAAATAAAGTACATTCGTATCATTTATCTTCAATTTATTTATTTATTTTTTTTGCCTTTATATAAAATTATTTAGAAACCTAATGGGATATTATATTAATAATAGTTCCAAAGCAATAAAAGCATTGATATTCGATAGATATCACTATCATAAACTAAAACACATACATAAAATTATTGAATTAAATGCAACATTTACGACTGTTATACTGTCAGAGAGAAGACGTAATATAAGCATTTAACGATCGTTTCCGTTCAATAGGATAAACTTTAATATTCCAATTTGATTAACAACTGTGTCTTTAAATACTGATAAAACTATTGAAGTAATAATTATCAAAGAAATAATCCTTTAAATGGAATTAATTATAATTCAGTTATATTTATGTATTTTAATATCTACTGTGACTCTCCTTAAAAAATATTAAATCCAATACATTGCATGATGCACAAATTCATTCTTCTAAATCGTTATCAATTTATAGCTTTAAATATAGCTTGAAAAGCTTTGATCCATCAAATTTTCTTTCATACGTATTCTAAACAATTTGACCGATTTTTCAACAAAATTTTATATAAATATCTAAATAAATTAATTTCGGAAGCAGTATAAATTATAGTTTAGAAATGTTTTTTTATATATACAAATACTTTTTCCTTTCTCTTCTCCAAATATAATTGCCAACGTAAATTTTCTCTTCTCCACCCCTCTATCTCTCTCTCTCTCTCTCTTTATCTCTTTCTCTCCACCTACCTACCCGTTTAGCTATGCATCTATTTGCCTTTCTCTGTTTTACTTTTGTTCCATTTTATTGTTTGTTTTTTTTTTTTTGCTTTTCATTCGATACTGTCACACGTCCGCATGTGTAAACGAGTAAATTGACGTGGTCCGCGCGCTTATACGGAAGACTAAGGCTACAACTACGAGCACGAAGAGAAAATGAAAGGGAAAGCGAAGAATGAAAAAAGACGGCAAACGAAGCGGGCCGGTACAGGGAGAATATGTTGCATGCGCTCCAAAGCCCTTTTTGCATTGCTTGTGTCTAGTTGTTTTTGTGTATGTGCCACTCTGTGCTCTGTGATTCTTGCTCATTTCTTTTACTGCTGTCGGTGTCAATGTGGTAGACTGATTATTTTGCCAGAGCAGGAAGTTCGCTTCCAGATGTGCTCCTCTTCGAGCGTGACTCGAAGGAATCGAGTGGAAAAGCATTGATTTCGTGGAGAAGGAAAGATAGAGCCAGGGCTATCGATGTACTTATTCTTTCCTTTTCATCCATTTGCAATATTCTATTAGCATTTCAAACTTATATAATTACTTTTACCTCTCATTAATCTACTTCCTGTTTATGTAAATTTTAATGAAAAAAGTATAAATTTAAAATTCACTTTTAAATGATCGATTCATATATTCTAACCTTAATGATATTTTATACTTTTTTATTTATAATAAAAATATTCAGATTATAATTTGGATTCCCTATATTGAATTAATAAAAAAAAAATAAAAAAAAAAAAATCTGTTATAAATATATGCAGACTTACGTACGTGTGTAACAAATGTGAGGAAATGCTTTAGTAATGCACGAGTATAAAAATTATTATGCAAATGTTAAAATGAAATAGCAGATTAAAGTTTTAATATCTATTTTTCAAGCAGAAGGTTTTAAAATTTTAATTTTCCTAGTTGTATATAGCTTTTTTACTTTATTATAACTTTATATTTTACATTTTCATTCTCTACATGTACAATATTTTAGTTAGTCTTTCATTTTTTCGAAATTTTTTTCAATCATCGTTCCATGAATACATTAAAATATAAGATTTTGACATTTACGCTCGCGTATCACTTATTTAATTTTTCATTAAAGTATTCATTATGTTTTTAAGAATAATATTCGTCCCCGAGACAATCTAAATCCCCCCCCCCTCTCTCTCTCTCTCTCTCTCTCTCTCTCTCTCTCTCTCTCTCTCTCTACGTACATAAGATTAAGGAATATAACAATTAATAAAATTGTATAAAATACTCATAGCAGTCGGGATTAATGTTCTAGAAATATTTGTATTGTTTTTATTACAAATAATGAATAAAATCTAAATCGAGCGAGTCACGCACGAGACTGCTGCATAAAATATACGCTTCATTTTATTTTAATGTGACATGTAAAGTAAGGGATCATTCAGAAATTATATTTGTACATAAATTTAAATTATTCATATATAATTACAATGGAATATACTTTAGGCATATCATGACGGAAAATGAATTGAAATGGAAAATAATTATCGTTCCATATAATTCGTTTACAATTAAACTTTGCATATATAAAAAAAAATGTATTTTTTAAAATTATAATACATTTTATTCGCGTAGTTCGTTAGATTACGTAATTTATTCAACGAGCGGAGATCGGTATGCGTTAGCCCGTATATGTGCGTGTGAGAACGCGCGTGCATGCATGTGTGTGCGGCATGGCGGGGGAGGGGGCATGAGGCGCAACATAAGTATTAAAGTACGTATTTTATCCCTATAAATATATTTGAATTAATTATTGCTACAAGAGACAAAAAAAAAAAATGGAAAAAAATGTTAAAGCTATAAATAAGAGATTACTTATTTCAATAATTTATTATTAAAATGAATATGGAAAATAAATAATGCATGCAGAGTAACGATCATTATTACGTTTCGAAATCGCTAAATTTCCACTGCTTATTTATATAAATATATCATTAAAAAAATCCTCAATATTTTCCAATTAATTCAATGTAAAAAAATGTATATATATATATATATATATATACATAAGGAAATAAATTTTATAACCCATTTGTTTATATATTGAAAGCCGGTACTAGTAAAAATTTTAATAAAATCTCATGTCACAAAAGCATCCTGCGTAGACCGAAAATCCGACAAAATATTCACACCAAGCTTCCAGCAAATATGGCGTTGCTCGTCATTATCATAGTATTTAGATTTCCGACATAGCTGCAAGCCATAGCCATTCTCCAAATCAATACAGAAATGAATGCATTCTTATCGCGCACAATACCAGCCGCGATTCCGGAACACCTTAAAAATTTGAAATACCGTCGGGTTCGATTCACGGGGCGAAGCTCAATTTTCCAGCTGACTTCCCGATCGGGACAATGGAATTTCCGAATGATCCCGTAAAAGCCCGCTTCAGCAGCCCTGACCGTACGTCCACCCGGGCGACTGGAAAATTAACGCTCTCCCATTTTCACATTTTGCTTGCGCCGCACAGTATTCGATGAGCATGGGGGACGAGGCGCGCGACAATCACTCCCAACAGATCGAGCGCGCGGAGATCGCCAACCTCGTGCGCTCGCGCATGGAGTCCCTCAACCTACCGATCGCCGACTACGACGACGTCTCTGAGAAGCGCAGCCGGCTCTCGTACGTCATCATCAACCCCTCGTGCGACCTGAAGCTCGAGGAGGGCGACATCGTCTATTTGGTGCGGCCCTCGCCCTTCTCCGCCCAGAAGACCTTCGAACGCCATAATTCGAGACGCAAGAGCAACATCAGCTTCTGCTCGGCCCAACTGGTGACTCAGATGAGCGCTGCCGTCACCTCGGCGGGGGCTGGTGCCGCCGGGGCCGGCGGCGGCGTCATTCAGAGCGGCGGCGGTCCGGGGAGTCGGCGCGGTTCCGGCATCGGCATCGCCAGGGCGCCGCCGCTCAGTACCACCAAATCCAATTCGCTCTCCCTGCCCGACAGTCCGACGGTCGCCGGCAGTCTGCGCGGCAGATCCAACTCGTTGCGCGTCGTCGACGACATACTGCTGAGGCGCAGCAACTCCTTAAGGTATGAATCTCGATATATCGATGCACTTGGTTATTATGGCTTAAGCGCAAATGTTTCTTAGCACGAAATAAGGAGAGTTGGGTAGCGATGCTTCTGTTTCCTATGCTTCTGTTGAACTTATTCGAATTATAAGAAATCAGAAAATAAATTTAGTAGTCGCTAAGGTTGATATAATCGTGTGTGCCGAGGCTCGCAATTTCGCAGCTTTAAAATATTTAATTTTACGGCTTTTGATATTATATATATATATATATATATATATATACTAATCGAGACATATAACGTAAAAATAATGACTATTTTCTCACGTCGAGTTATAATTCAATATATCTTATCAATCAAATTAACGTAATGGACATTAATTTAATTAATACTCTGTTGTGGGGTTTGGTAAAAATACAGTTTATAAGATTACTCAGGCGGTGAAATATAATATATGTGTGTGTGTGTGCGTGTGCGTGTGTGTGTGTGTGCAAGCTGTCGGATTTTAACGCACTGATAATAATAACTTTGTAATACCGTCGAATGAATTCAAATTCATTTTAATATAATTTCATAATGATGAGAGTTAATAATAAAATAATTTTATCGAAATGTGAGAGTAATCAATTTATGCGATGCAATTATTTGGAAAATATGATTAATTATCCAGTCGATTATTAAATTACGTATTATTAGTAAAATTTAATTGCTTGCTATTTGTGTATATTTTTGGTAAAGCATCGGAACAAATGTCAATGTCTAGCTAGATGACATTTTTTAATTCTTTTCACTCGAGTTGAAAATAAGGTTAAATAAGCTACGCTAATGGTTTTTCCGTGAAACGGTAGGAAAATCTAATTAGCGAGAGAATTAAAATTGCGTTCTTTACCGATTAGCTCTGCGTTGCTAGTCTAATTAAGCTAATTATGCAGCTTTAGGATTTTCTTTTGAAGATATAATTATTACTATGCGCAATAGAGACACGGTAAATCTTATAAAAAGTTTATTATTAATAATGTCTATGATTAAGCTAATTTTCATAGTCTTCAAGAAAAGTAAGGTAATCTCGGATTTGAGAAATCTTTCCCTTCTCCCTCGACTGTCCCAATAAAAAGCATCGAACAAATTAAAGCTGAAATGAAAATTTGACATTTTTACTCAAAGTTAAATTCAGTTTTGCCATTTATATATATATATATATATATATATATACTTGGATATTCTATTCGTTATTGAGAAATACGTCGATTTAAACAAATACAAACAGCCATCTCCTAATTAACCACTGAAAATAAAAATCTTCCCACCGACAGACAAGGTCTCAGCATCCCAACGAGGCGCAAAAGCAGCCTGGAGGACATTGGGCTCGGCAGCATGTCGCACCCCTCGAATCACAACCCCATTAAGATAGCGCTGAATGGCTCGATCGGGCTGGAAGTAACGCCACCAGAGGAAGGGAGCTCGCAGCCGGTGAGCTCCGCCAGCAATACAGGCATCCTCGACGTCGGCCTACCATCGATGCCCGTCCTGGGCTCCGGCCTCGGTGGCTCCATGGGCGGCCTCTACGACTCCCCGGTCTCCTACGCCGGAGCCCAATCGCAAACCTCCTCGGGACAGCTCCTCGGGACCTCCGCCACCCAGGATCCCCAACACATACAAGGCACGATCGTATGATATAACCTCATGTGGGGGCGCAGACTATCGAGCGTTGTGAGAAACAAGTGGCTCTAGGCTGGCCCCCACGTGCCGACAAGACTCGCACTCCTTAAATGATTATCAACTCCCCGTTTATGCCTGTATTCTAGTCATTCGTATAGTCGGCGAAGAGTGGGGCGCGGATTTTCTTCGTCTCCTTGTTATTTCGTCTGCATACGCTCAACGAAACTGGTCTGTCTTTTTATTTTTGACATACGCCATCGATGCCTTGTTACGTTTATCGAGCGGCTTTGATTAACGCACCGTTCGAGCCTGCGGCATTGTTGTTCGCTCGGGCTTGCAAGCTCAAAGGGCAGTCTTGAATTCGTATCATTTCTCCTGAAATTGGATACTTTTTAAGTATAAGTATATTATTCTACATACCGTAGTAACGATAGTTCACGTAAGTACATCGGCTCGAGCTTAATGGAGATTTGCAACATAGATATTTGTAACGATATGCCATTTTGTAAGGTGAAACGACAAATAAACATATTACTTTGCACTTAAAGATATTTTAAATATGTAATATACCACATGCTTTGATATGAGGTAACACGATATTAGCTAATCAATGCAAGTAAATTTTTAAATAAATATTAAAAAGACCGATATATATATATATATATATATATATATATATATATAATCGTTTGTAATAACAGTAAGGATTCATTTTAATTTCTATATTATCGGTTTCACTTATAAATAATAAAAATTTATAAGCGTTCACAAAAGGTTGAGACTGGGAACAATTTTTCTCTCTAAAAACGCCGATGGGAAGTATTTGTATATAAAGAATGGAACTCTCACGTTGTACGGAACCAACAACGTGAGAGCTTTCATTGCCATATAAATATGAACTATCGCCTTGCTTTTGACATATTTCTTCTAATATCAACCTTTTTACATCCAACATATAATCACAACCACGTCCTAGTTATAATTTAGAATACTCTTCAAAAGATTATTAGCTTAAGGAGTTCTTAAACTAACCACTAAACTTTAGTACATACATATACGAGAGTTACATATTAAGATGTTTGACTTGTAGACATACGTTTTAGAAAAACTTAAATTAGCTATGAGATGTCAAGGAGAAATGATACATACATTTAGTGTTTATTATTATCCCTTGCTAAATTAAATGATTTTAATAACTAATATAAATATACGGAATGTCTTATTTCGAGAAAATTGTAAGCCGGCATTAAAAGAAAAAAATTTTTTTTTCAAAGAAAACTTCAAAGATGTATGAAAATATAAATACTAAAATTCTTCAATGAAACAAAAATTTAAAGACAGATCAATGTATTTTTAGAAATGTATAGTTGAATTTTTATAATCCATGAAATTTCTTTTAAATTAATGCGACGATTAACAAATTATGAAAGAGAATCTCGCAATACTCTTCAGAACAAAGCTTTTGGCATGCAAATGGCAGTTTTTGCCTCATAAAGAGAAAACAAGTAGTTTGTATTCGATTTTAATATTTCTATGAAGTTAATTAATAGCAAATTAATTAAATTAAATACTCCTACACTATGATCGGTCATTATTTACACATTTTCAAGATAAGAAAAAATATAAGAATAATGAATTCGTTGCATTACGTATACAGATACATAAATATTAGTGAATATAATAACAGAAAATCCTGAAAAACTATGTGTTTTAGCAACTTCGAGTGCCCTTTAAAGATGAACGATTATGACATAATTATGATCCATGTCGATAATTTTATACTAGAGGCAAATACATATATATTGTGCGCGTTCGTTCGTTCGTGTGTTGTGTGTGCGCATGCGTGAGCGTGTGGTTGGTGTGTGTGTGTGTGTGTGTGTGTGTGTTGTGTGTGTTGTGTGTGCGCGCGTCTGTATGTTTGACTATGTAGATGAAGCAAAATAATTTAATGATGAAAGACGAAGCGTAAAGTAAAATGACCATTTTAATTCATATCAGACACAACGCTAACATAAAGTTTTGTTTAAAATACGTATGCGTAAAAGTAGAATGTAAATCGAAATGATATAATTATAGACTTAGCGATATCGATTGCAATGTGTATGTAAGAGTGATTAAACTTATCCTATATATCGGTAATCTTCGAGTGTTACACGCTTTAACTCATGCTATAACATTGCTCATAATTTAAACAGAACGTCTGATTGCATTCAACCCTAAAGTCTGATTCAATGCACATCAGAATATTTATCTATAAGTTTACGTACTTTAAATTGTACACTTATGCGTATTTATCAAATACAATTTTTCGTCTCTTCTAATTCCGCTGATATAAAAATTAAATATTTCACAATATTTCTCATTATACCGAAGTAATTAACATATAATTAGTATATAAAAAACATATTTATTTTAATGCACGGGCATGAAATTGTTGAAAATGGGACCTTCAAATGCATATGTAGTTATTATGACAGTTAATGTGAATAGGTTGGACGGAAAAGTATTCTATATTTGAATTTTTCTTCAAAATAATACGCAACTTAATATTAATCGATATTAAACAAAAAATAATAATAATAATAATAATAATAATAATAATAAAATAAAAGAAGTTTTCAGTAGTGAATTATGAATTACCGATAATAACTATTTCAAATTAACATTGTTTTTAACACTGTTTTTAACACTGTTTTTAACATTGTTCACAATTACAAAAAAATTTTTCAAAATAAAAAAAAAAAAAAAAAAAAAAAAAAAAAAACAACGAAATTTCTTTTTACAGCTAACATTGACAAAACCTTAAGAAACATCATTAATAACATAGTATTATTGAAGGATAGAAGAAAAAAGAATTATGCACAAAATTTCTTCTAAAATGATACGTCGTTTTAATCAAAATATCATAATAATTTGAGTAGAAAAAGTGGGCAAACAACATAACAAATGTGTGATTACTTTTTAGTCCATATCTGAATCTACTGGTAAACATAAATCGTATTACACATAAGATGCTAAATATTTTTCTTTAAATTTAAAAAGTTTACTAAAATTGATTCAAGTGTTATAATAAAGGGTTTTATAATACGTTAAAAAAAAAAAAAAAAAAAAAAAAATTAATTTACAAAGAATATTTACAAATATACTATATAAAATCATTCATTCATGCTGACAATCGACCTTATTTATTCATAACAATTATGCGTGATTAAAATATCTGCTGAACACTAAAATCTATGCTGCAACAATAATTTATTTATAAATATGTGCGTTAATTTTAAAATAAATTAATGAAATATTACGCACGGCAAATCAACATTTAGAAAATATCTGACGCATAACATCGTTTATTCAGATTACCAGTTCAAACATAAATAACAATCACTATAATTCTTTATACAATCAGAAAATCAAATTCTTTAAGTAATTAGTATACAATATTTTAATATTTAATAATTTTATACAATAATTTGAACAGTTTGAATATTTACTTAACGGCAGTATTATAAACCATAGAAGGGCATTAATCGCTCTCATACAAAATTATTATTCATTGACCAATTTACATAATACATCCATTATTAATCTTCAATATTTCGAGCTGAAATTTTTGTTACCTATTTCGTCGTGCTGCAATAAATGGTTTCTCTCGGTAGTTCTTCTATAACATTATCATTTATTCAATAAAAATTTAATACCTATATAATATAAAGATAATATAGTGAGCGCTCGATCAAGCTTCAAGTTCAATAGTCGAAGTATTGAAATATCACTTGAAGTTATATAAAATAGTAACAATAAAAGTAACAAAAAAAATATAAAATTTGTAAATAGATAAGGCTAGTCAAGTATTTTTTTGGAGAGACAATTTTCTATTTGCAACGCCAACAGTACGCGACGAAATGTATAATGAAATACAGTGCCCAAACGCGTCACGGTTTCTAATGAAAGAAAGTGAATACTCGAATCTTCGTAGTGTCTTTCTTAAGAGAAAATAATATATACTTTGTTATTTATAAATCTATATAAATACTCTATCCAAATAAGATTTTTGTTATTAAATTTTACACTCTTCGCCCTTCTGTATATCATGGTCTTGTGTTACTTTTTTTAGAATATAGTAATAAAAATTATTTTGTAATGATTATAGCACCTACTTATTTTGTAAAAATTATATATCTACATATATATATATATAGTTCCATTGTTTCGTAATTTGAATTATTCAAATTCAAAAAAAAAAAATAATAATAATAATAATAATAATATAACTTTTAACTGTTAAAGATTATTCATGTTCGTATTAGAAATTTACATTTCATTATATAATATTAGTGTATTCTAGAAGAAAAACAGATGTTGTTATTTTCTGATATTTGTTAATAATATATACGTAAATTATATCTATATAGTTTATTTTCAATCATTATACGTCTGGATACTTTCAAAACAATCGATGCAAGTAAAGGCTTATTGTTTTTCCTGATAAATTTAAATGTATCTTTCAATATTTAATAAAATATAGAAAATATCGATAAATTCATGTGCCATTGTAGCACACGTATTTTTGACTTTGTCATTGATATTATAGGAAAAACAATTTTTTTGATGTTTCTAAAATTAATATACATATAGAATATATTCTAGAATCGTTTGTTTAAAAAAAAAAAAAATAATAAAAAATAATAATAATAAGAAAAATAAAAAGTAAATGCTTTTCTTATTATGAATTGAAATAAAAAAAATTATATTTTATTAGTATAACAAGAATAAACTAGTAATTATTGGAAAAAATAATAATGAAAGCACTGCGTCAGAAAAAACGTTACTGCCGTAGATGAAAGAAAAATTATATTAGAATCCATCATTTTGCATAAAACATTGCAGTAAGTATTGAATTCCATACTATACATATGCATAAATATATATATATATATATATATATATATATATATATATATATAAACATAAATATACGTATGCGTATGAGTTTTGCATGCGTGTGTGACTGTGTGTGTCTGTGTGTGCATATATCTATATATATATATATATATATATATGCACAAACGTTTACCTATATATACATATGTCCACGTATAAATCTATACAAACATATAATTACATATTCCAAATTTAAATAAAGTAATTATTTTTTTATAAAATAAAATAATATGTATTAACAAAAAATTTCTTTGTATAGTTCAAATAAGTTTTCGATTTTAATGCAGTAACGTTTTTCATTACAATATAAATTTAAAAATTAGCCTAAAATAATCCATACTGCATAAAAACGTGAATAAAGA